GTGTCGACCCCAGGACTGGAAAAGCGGACTGGAACCGCTTGCAGAATGTGCGACCCCTGGATATCGAATTAGCCCAGAACAGCCACGCGTACCTCGGCAACTGGAACATCAATACCAACAAGTGGCTCAGAAACTACGTGTACCTGCGCGTTACTCCCAAGGGCAAGAAGCCAGGATTCAGAGCCACGCTGGCCACGTTCGTCACCAGTGCCTTCTGGCACGGCTTCTATCCAGGCTACTACATGGCGTTCATTCTAGCCAGCTTTATCCAGAACATCGCAAAGAGTAAGTCCCAAACATATCTCTGAATAAAACCACATTCTTAACAACCCATCAGACTCCCGCCGCCTCCTCCGCCCCTTCTTCATGAGCGCAGACGGCACGCAACCACTCCCGACAAAACGCTACTACGACATCTTCACCTACCTGGTAACTCAACTCGCCTTCTCCTTCACCGTCGCCCCGTTCATCCTCCTCAGCTTCTCCGACAGCATGCTCGTCTGGTCGCGCGTCTACTTCTACTGCATCATCGGCGTGACCACCTGTTCGCTGTTCCTGCTCACGCCCGGCAAAGCATGGTTGGTGGCGCAGACGAAGAAGAGGGCTAGTCGGCCTGCCATGGCTAGGAGTGACAGTGAGGGCCAGTTTGAGCCGACGCTGGGTCTGCCGAATGATCCCGGTAGGACGTGGGATGAGATGGTCGAGGAGGTGGGAGAGGAGATTAGGAGGAGGAAAGCGCAGGGAAAGCCGATTCCGGTCGAGTTGGAGAGGGCGCAACAGAAGGCGCAGATGAAGTTGGATGCGAGGAAGTGAGGGCTGGGTGGTAGGTTGGTGAGGGCCACTGAGTGGGTAGGTTGGCAGTGTCAACGCAAGTAGGATGTTGCAAAAAGTAGAAAAGGTTTCTCAGCGCAGAGGAATTGCCTGAAGGTGTGATATTTGACTTGCTATACGCGTACAAGTCTCGTACGGTGACAAAGGATATAGTAGGGAACCAAAGTCATCATGGCCCAAATTCTCGCCCGCTAAACGAAACCGCAAAAACGCCACTAACATAATGCCAGAGTCCCGAAACGCCTAATCCTTAGAAACGGGAAAGCCAAAATCCCTTACCCAAGATGCACCAAACTCCATCTTCCGGAACGCACCAAGCACCCCCATCTCACCTTCCTCTTCGCCAAAAACAAGAAAAACGCCACCACCACAAGTCCCGAAACCTCCCAGCCCCCCCTAATCCAAGTGAGAAAACCCGCCAAAACCCCTCATCGAGCTTGACCGAACGCCCGATTCCACACCCGCTTCGCGCTCGCCACCCGTTCCTTCCCCGGCTCCTGCGCCCGCAACGCCTCGTCCCTCGCCTCCTCGACCAACCCCCGCACCGCCCGCACGTCGAGTGGGTTGCGCTGGACAGGCAGGGACGCGGGACGCGGCGGGAGCGGCGCCAGGACCCCGGAGGCGAGAGCGGAGGGGGGAGGGGCGGGCTCGAGCGTCGGCCGTGGTGCGCGCGGCGATAGGAGTTGTGACGGCGTGGCGCGGGCGTGGTGCTGGTGCTGGGGATGGGAAACCTGCGGGTGTGGCAGGCCGGGCGGCAGAGCGGGGCCGGGCAAGGAGAGGAGGGACAGCTCGTAGCTTTCTCCGTTCCCGGTCCAGTGGGGTGGGAGGGCTTGACTCGCGACGAATTGTCTGCTAGGCGAAGACAGCCGCGGAGGAGGCGAGTCGAGGGGCGGGAACTCGGGGGAGCGCGGCGGTATGCTGGGCCGTAGCTGGGGCTGTGAGGGGCGGGGGCCCAGTGAGGGCGATTGCGGCGTATACGGCGTTTGACGCGCGATGGTGTGCCCGGACGCTTTGGAGGAGGTCGGGGGAGGCGAGGCGAGGGGTGGGAAGATGGGGGAGCGGGGCGGTGGCGGGCCCGTATGTGCTGCCGCGACGGTGGCTGTCCCCGCGTAGTAGGTTGAGGTTGACGACATGCTGGACTTGTTCTGGGTAGTTATGTTGGTTTATTGGAGGACGGAGGAAGGCGTTTTCGCTGGAGTTTTGGTCTGGTGAGGGTGGTTCTTTTGCTCCTTGGTGGCTGCTTTCTCCGTGGTACGTGTTGGCCAGAATTGGGGGGATTGCGAGTCCTGATATACTCGGGCATGGCTGATAGTTCGTGAAGGGGAGGCTGATACATTATGATTAGACTTCAGGAAACGCAGGGACATGAAGCTTCGCGACGTGAAAGTTCGAAACCTTGTTAACTATTGATTTAGTAGCCCGCTTAATAAGCGAACAAAGATGAGTACGACTTTGGATATCTGAAATAGAAAGCTTAACACGAACCTGCAAACCTATCATGCTTCCCTACCTAACTCCATCATCAACGCATCGCATCTTAGCCCAGCATTTCGACGCCGTAGCTGCTGCCGCAGGCCCCATCCCACCGCCATCCCAATCTAGGACAGCCGGACGCCCACCTTGCGAATAAACTTCCACAACACCAGAACTCCTTCCATGCCTCGCTTCAAAAGAAAAAACCCAAACAAAGCCCACCCAAACCCTCACCCTCCGCCCCGCGTTACCCAAACTTCCAAACTCTCTCCCTCAACCTAACCCAAGCCGCCCCAAGCACCCCGTATCCGTCTCGCGAGCTGGATATCCTTCTGCATGATGGTGACGCGCTTGGCGTGGATGGCGCACAGATTCGTGTCTTCGAACAGGTGCACGAGGAAGGCTTCGGCGGCTTCTTGCAACGCTTGGATCGCTTGCGATTGCCACCGGTAGATGTTAGAGCCGGCGGGAGCCATGCTGACGCAGATTTCTCGCACCTGCGCGGGGTGGTGTTAGCGGCTGTCATTTAGATGAGAGGTACAAGGGCTGGTTGGTGGTGGGTGGAGGGAGAGGGCTGAGGTAGCTGGGACGGGGTTGCATGAGGGTTGGGGGGAGAGAACAACTTACTAATCTGGAGAAGGGCAGTTTGAGAATGAGGAGGTCGGTGGATTTCTGGTATTTGCGGATTTCTCGTAATGCGACCGTGCCAGGTTTGTAGCGGCGTGTTTTCTGTGGACTTTCTGAAAGGCAAAATACAGCGGTTAGTGATCTTCCTGGTCTGCATCGATTCTCGTGCCTTGACTGAGCCCATGTGCTTTTGCACAACTCGGCCTCAAGGATCGCTTTCGGCTCGAGAAAGTAATGCCACGTACGATGTATGCCACTACTCCTTCTGGGCGCTTTGGTCTTCAATCCCTTCCCGCCTGCCACTGCTCTTTTACCACCTGTGCTCGGTCCACCCTTGCCGCCACGGCGCGCCGTCTGTGGTCCCGCCATGCTTCTCCTACTCCTGTATCCGCGCTTTCAAACGACGCGATCCCAATGTCTCCCCCAAGTCTCTTCCAACTGCTGCGGTGTTTGCGACGCGTCGTGGTTTCTTGCTTTGTTTTGAATCGCACCGTCGAGCCAAGAGTCGCGCAAACAAAAGCTTTGGTGGTACGGTGAGATGGTGCGTCGAAGAGACCAATTCCAACTCTGAAAGTCCAGGGAATGGGTTGCCGGTGTTGTTTGGTCGTCTGTATTGGTGGTTGTTTTGGTATGCTGAAGTCGGTAAGTTCCACGCGTAGGGCTTGGAGACTGGGAATCCGCACGGCTAATCTTATCTCATCTCCGCCCGCTTTGTCTGGCCCATCTGCGTCTCCCCGCGCGGCTAAGCCTTCCCGTCGGCGTCACTCGTTTGGTGACGAATAGCCACCTGGCGAGTCCTGAGTACAATAGAAACAACCCTACTTTCACTCTCGACTGCGAATTTCGCACCTCTCGCCGGCCCTTTCTATTCCTTCCTTCGTCGGACAACGCTCATAGTCCCTATTCAAGAGTAGAACAGAGAAACGAAAGAACATGGCGGCCATGCTAGGCGCCGGTGACGGAGCGCTCGGCCAGGTACCGCTTGAGCAGTGGTTCTTCGAAATGCCCTTTTACACACGCACCTGGACAACGGCTACCATCCTGACCGGCGTGCTGGTGCAATGTAACATCCTATCCCCCTTCCAGCTGTTCTACAGCTTCCGCGCCGTCTACTACAAGAGCCAGGTAAGCCACCCCAACGCGCCCCTGCTTCCACTCCACGTAGATGGGATCTTCGCAATGCCAAAACGACACGACACGATACCACAGGTGGCATAGTGGCTAACAAGCGATCACAGTACTGGCGGCTCCTAACAACCTTCATCTACTTCGGGCCCTTATCGCTAAACCTCCTCTTCCACATCTTCTTCATCCAACGGTACGCGCGCATGCTAGAAGAAAGCGCCCCCTCGCCCGCCCACTTCTCCTGGATGCTCGCCTACGCCTCCACCACGCTCCTCTGCCTCTCCCCGCTCTTCTCCCAGGCCTTTCTGGGCTCCACGCTCAGCTCCACGCTCGTCTATATCTGGAGCAGGAAACACCCGGACATGCAGCTGAGCTTTTTGGGGCTTTTCATCTTCAAGGCTCCCTGGTTACCCTGGGTCATGATCGCGTTGAGTGTGGTGTTGCATGGGCAGTGGCCGAAGGATGAGTTGGCCGGGATCGCGGTCGGGCATGGTATGTTGCAATCGCAATCGTCCTGGTGACGCGACATCAGGACAGGGGAGATCGGGATGCTGACATTACACGCAGTCTACTACTTTTTGAACGACATATACCCCTCTACGCACAATGGGTCGAGACCGATGGATCCTCCGCGGTGGTGGATTAGTCTGTTTGAGCGAGATGCTTTCGTGGCGCCGGAGACGGATATTCAGCCTGCGGCTTTGGACAATAGGGATTTGGCAGCTGCAGCGGCGCCGGAGGTTCGGTGAAGGTAGTCCTTGTATTCGTCTTGATTTCACGATTGTATTGTTAGGCGTTTGAGCGTAGTTACATGTTAGAAGTCCGCCGGGCATTGGATACCGTCCATGTCATTGCTTCGATTCAAGCTATATGGTTTTCTTGCAGTAAAGAAAGGATCACGTGATGGAAAGATCCCCTCAGATCTTCCCGACACTGAGAAAATAGGCGAGGTGGCCGAGTGGTTATGGTAAGCTCATTCACTCCATCTTGGCTTTGGAGAAACATCGTACTAACAGATTCGAAAGGCGCTAGTTTCAGGTAATACCTACTAGTGGGAAACCGCGTGGGTTCGAGTCCCACCCTCGTCAACACATCTTTTTTTGCTGTTTTGCGTGCCTACTAGGCATCCTGGAGTATGGTTTTGTATACCACTGACGGTTCAGGGAGTTACTTTTGCAAATTTGGTGTGCGTGTGACACTTGTGACTTCTTGACTTGGATTGGAAAGGTTAGGAATGATGTCTGCCCGGGCCCAATCACGACAGGCCCTACTATGATATTGCTCATCGACTATCCATTCCCCTACTGTCGTTCAAACCTCCAAACACATCACCCAAGCGTTCTCCCTACCATCTCCCAGTCCCAACACCTCAAAGCCCCCTGCACCATCACTACCACATCTGACCCCTTCCCAACCAGCCCATCCCTCACTTCCCCGCCGCGCTCCTAAACACCCCAACCAACCTCTCCCCCTCCCCCTCATTCCTCAACCTCTGGACCAGGAACCCCTTCAAATCCGCCCAAAACTCCTCACTCGCCAACACCTTCGCCGTCTCCCCCTCCCCAGCCCCGCCCTTCGACTCCGCAACCGCCTCCGCCTGCTCACTCAACGGCGCACCCCCGTCCACATCCATCGCTTCGCCTTCGCCTTCACCCGCCGTACCCTCACCCCCAGCCGCAGCCGCCGGATCCAGGATCTCGACCGCCGGCGACGCGGCGGCCGGCGTGCCCGCCGGACTAGCAGCTCCCCCCAGCACCATAACGGCAAACTCGAGCCTCTGCGGCGGCGGGCCCTCGGGCAGTACATCGCGCAGCGTCTTGAGGTCGGCGGCCGGCCGTTTGTGCAGAAGGAGCTTGATCTTGCTGGTTTCGAGGCCGCTGTGGGAGGAGTAGGCGGATTTGAGGTCGAGGATTGTGGTGCTGAGGGGTTGGGGGGGGAGGGTTAGGGACGTGGTGGTGGGGGTGGGTTTCATTGGTTTCAGGGTTATGGTTATGGTGGGCGCGGCGCTGGGGCTGGTTGGGCGCGAGCGGCGGGGGTAGGGGTGGGTTTGGCGGGGGAGCGTGTACTGGGTGCGCATTAGTTCCTGAGCTGACAGTGACAGCTAGAGAGCGGAATGGGGTGCGTGACTTACGGGCGACTGCGCGGGATACTTCCTGGGATCGGCCACATGGTCGCTGCTCAGTTTGACGGCCCGCTTGTCGAGCGTGGCCAGGAAGGACTTGGCGAAGCTGATCTCGGACATGGATTGTTCTTGCAAGCGGTACGTCTCCCAGTATGTCATGTAGTTGGTTGCGTTGCGGTGGTCTGTGGATGGCTGTGTTGTGTAGGTAGGGGCTCTGGGTTGTGGTTGCTTGAGATGAAACGGGACGGGAACTTGGAGCTTCGGGTTGCCCGCGGGGGAGATCTGACGTCGCGACAGAGTCTTGGCGGCGCGAAGTGAATCTTTGAGCGGTGCAGCTACTTCCAGGTTGTATCATATACCTGCCTCGAGCAGTCTACTGTCCCTCCTCTCCTCTTACTGTTAGCCAAGGCGCAGGCGCCTACCACCACCACGACTATGGCACAAGTCTACAACCTCGAACCCCAACCCACAGCAAAAGTAATCCTCAACACAACCGCCGGCGACATTGCCCTCGAGCTCTTCGCCAAGCAAACACCACTCGCATCGCGCAACTTCCTCCAACACTGTCTCGATGGCTACTACACCAACACAATCTTCCACCGTCTAGTACCGGGCTTCATCATCCAGGGCGGCGACCCGACAGGTCTAGGCACCGGCGGCGAGAGCGCGTTCGACAATGGCAAGCCCTTTGCGGATGAATTCCACAACCGGCTCAGGTTCAACAGGCGGGGATTGCTGGGCATGGCAAACGGTGGAGCCAGGGATGATAATGGAAGTCAGTTCTTCCTGACGCTGGGCGAGACGCCGGAGTTGCAGGGCAAGCACACCATGTTTGGGCGCGTCGAGGGCGATACCATCTACAACCTCATGAAGATGGGGGAGGCGGATCTGGCTGAGGAGGGAGGCGATCGCCCACTTTACCCGACACGGATTACGGGTGCCGAGGTCGTGGTTAACCCGTTTGAGGATGTGGTGAAGAGGGTTCGGGTCGCGACGAGAGCGCCGAAGGAGGAACCGAGGAAGGAGAAGGCCAAGAAGAGGAAGGTGGGGAAGACGCTGTTGAGTTTTGGGGACGAGGAGGGCGCGGATGCGGTGGAGACGGTGGTGAAGAAGAAGGCGAAGGTTAACACGGACTTGATCAGTGCTGGGGTTGAGCAGCCGGAGAAGATGAACAATACGAACATGCCGAAAGCGCCGGAGAGGACGACGAGGAGGAAAGCTTCGCCTTCGAGATCCTTATCTCCGAAACCAGCTGCGAAGGAGGCACCGACGGAGCCGGCGCGATCTGCGAAGCAAGCGTCGCCTTCACCTCCACCCGAACCGCCACAGGTCACAAGCACGATGAGCGCGCTCGAGAAGACCAACGCGCAGATCGCCGCGCTGAAAGAGTCGATGAAACGCACCACGGGCCCGTCGCGTCAGGAGCGCGAAAAGCCCAAGTCGGCGCTCGAGCAGATGATACCAGCGACAGCGACCCGCGGACGGAAAAGAGGCAAGCAAGCCGACGACCGCGCGGGGCTGGACATGTTCAATGCGTTCAAGAAGCGGCTTGGCGAGATGAAGCAGACGGAGGAGCCTGCTTCGGCCACCACCGCCACCGCCACCAATGGCACTGCGAACGGCACGGATGCAGAGACGCGGAAACCAGCGCATGCGAATGGGCGAGGGCAAGGGCAATCCGCACTAGACGCGGAAGACGCGCTGTGCGACCTGCACTTCATCGCGAACTGCCAGTCCTGCCGGTCCTGGGACGCAGACGGGGCTGCGAACGGCGAGGCCGCCGCCGACAATGACGACGATACGGCGTGGTTGGCGCATAAACTGTCGTTTGCGAGGGACACGCTGGGCAAGGATCTGGAGTGGAAGAGGAAGATGGAGGAGTTTGAGGTTATTGATCCTAGGGAGAAGGAGAAGGTGATTGTGGGTTCGAAGAGGAAGGGGAAGGATGGGCGTAAGGAGGGCGGGGGGAGGGAGTGGGATCGCAGGGATAAGAGGCAGGCGAGGGCTTGATGGGGGCGTTGTGGTATTGGAAGGGTAGCCGAATGACGAGGTCAGATGGTTATGAGATAGGATGCAGCCGTCGTGCTAAGCCCCTCTTACTCTCGACAACTTTCGCTCTAGTGAGACTAGCATCTCTGTGCCTCCCGTCCCATGATCCACAAGCACAAGACACATACGGAGAGATAAAAGTGAAGTGAAGCGGCTTGAAAGCCAGACATTACGCTAACAGTACAAGAATCCAATATCAATATTAACCCTCCCCTCAAAGCTTCCCGCCCAAGACACCCCCCTCAATCCTCTCAACACCCGCCTTGTGATTATGCGCCTCAGTCTGCAGCTCGCCCATCGACATACCCCTCTTCGCATCGCCCATATCCTCAACGTCCTGGAAGCTGACCTGCGGCCTGAACTTCTTGCTCTCCCACGCCTTGCTAACGACGCCGTACAGCTCGTCCACCTGCTCGAGACTGAGGCCCTTGGTCTCGTAGATCAGGCAGTAGACGAACAGGATGCAGACGAAGCAGAAGCTGCCCCAGACGAAGAAGACCTTGGATTGCAGGTTCGCGTACTCCGCGTTCACCATGTAGGGGGTTGCGTACGCGATCGCGAAGTTGAGCAGCCAGTTGGTTGCGGTCGTCATCGAGAGACACTTGGCGCGCACCTTGAGGGGGTACAGCTCGCCGGTCACGACCCAGGCGACAGGACCCCAGGATGCGGCGAAGAAGAAGATGTAGATGCAGACGAAGGCGATGGAGGCGCGCTGGGCGTCGAGGTTCGCGGTGCTGGCCACGGTGCCCGTAATCGCGACGATGAACTGACACACGGCCATTCCAATACCGCCGAAGAGCAGCAGGTTCCTGCGGCCGAGCTTCTCGACCAGGTAGAGCCCGGGGAAGGTAGACGCGACGTTGACGGAGTTTGTGATGACGGAGATGATGAACGGGTTGCTGAAGCCTGCGTTCTGGAAATACTGCGTGCCGTAGTAGAAGATGAAGTTCACACCCGATAGCTGCTGCAGCGCTTGCAGGCCCATGCCGGTCAGGAGGCGCTTGATCATGTCGGACCGGAAACAGTCGATGTAGGTTGCCTTTGACAAAGAGGACTCGTAGCGGTGGTTCGCCATGATTTCGCCCAGCTCTTCGACCACGGCTGGGTGGTCGATGGGAAGACGGCGGATCTTAGCGAGGGCTTGTGCGGCCGCGTCCGGCTTGTCTTGCTTGACGAGGAAGCGGGGCGTCTCGGGGAGGACGAGGAGGCCGATGACGATAATCAGGGACCAGGCGAATTGGATAGAGATGGGGATGCGGTAGGAGCCGGAGTCATTGCGGTCCTTAGTTGCGTTGTTGACGATGGCGGCGAGGAAGAGGCCGATTGTGATGGCCAGCTGGTAAGCGCCGACAATCGTTCCTCTGATCCATTTTGGCGCCGTCTCGGACTGGTAGAGCGGAACCATGGCGGAGATGAGACCGACGCCGAATCCGGCGAAGAAACGACCGGCGATGAACATGGGCTGGGCGGTGGAGGCGGCTTGGAGGATGACGCCGAGGTTGAAGACGATGCCGGCAGAGGCCATGAGACCGAGACGACGGCCGATCTTGTCGGCGACGGGGGCGGCGCAGAGCGCGCCGATGAAGGTTCCTGCGGAGAGGATGGAGACGATCAGAGCGTCTTCACCTGGAGAGATGGCGTCGGAGCCGTGCTTGGCGAACTGCTTGATCCAGTATGGCATGGCGAGGATACCGGAGATGGTACCGGTGTCGTAGCCGTAGAGGACACCGCCAAAGGCGACGAAGAGGCCAATGGCGACGGCGGGCCATGTGGCACCCGCCGTGTCGGCAGGCCTCTGGAAAGCGAAACCCATGTTATGAGGGCCTTATGTGGTCTGTATGTATGTGTGCTTCTCTTATTATAGTGATGTGTAAGATGTATCAGAGTTGGGTATTCTTCTGTAGCGAGAGATTGAGA